CTTTTTCCAGGCTGATGACATCTGTCAGGCCTTGATTCCTGGTGCCACTCCTGCCCGCCAACTCAGGAAAGACTTCCGTAATGCCTTTGCTTTTTTGAAATACCTCAAGACACAACGCGGCAGCTGACGCCAACTCCCTCCTGAGGATGGACACTTGGCCAGGAGCCCAAGCTGGAAAAGATTTGGAGGTTCTTGATCTTTACTGAAATCATTCCTACCTTCTCACTAGCAATTAAAATAAATTCCTCCCCAGAGAGCAGGCAGAGGTTCTGCAAATGTCTTCCATCCAGTGGTAGTGACATTTGATTAGGGGAAACCGTTAAAGCGTAGCAGCAGCTGATAAATGTCAGAGCCTTCACAGAGTTTTGATCACTTACAGGGTATTTCTCATTTCATACCATGGATAGTTTTTAGGCCAACACCACTCAACCTTGCTTACTTAGTCAAATGTTTCAGGTCAACATACCAAATTCAAGTCAATGGTCTGTTTGCACTAGTTCTGGGTGCATCCCTAAGGCTAAGAAGTTTGACCGGCCAGGCAGATTGACTTGAAGTACTTTGCTGATGGCCAATAGGACATCAGCAAACTTCTGCAAAAGCACGCTTTTTCATGATGGAGAAGCAGTGTGGTATAAGTAAACACACACACAACACATGCGCACACAGAGTCAAGGATTTCAACTCTGACCCGCTGTGTGTCTTGGGGCCTTCATTTCCCTTCTAAATGCATTTCCTCACCTGTTAAAGAAAGATCTTAGGCTAAATCAGAGATTCCCAAATGTCCACAAAATGGGTACATCAGTATCCCCTGGGGGCTTCTGAAAACTACAGAATCCATTCCTAGAGGATCTGATTTACTAAATCTAGGGTGATGCCTAGAAATCTGCATTATTAGCAATCCACATTTCCCACCACCACCACTTTTAATTCTGATGCAAAGTCACATGCGGAAATAATTAGACTAAATGACCTCTAAGACTCCTGATAGCTTTGAAAGTTATAAAACTATAGACCGAAACTTATTTTCTAATACTTTCATCCAAGAATTTTTTTTCCCTATCCACGATTAGCATTCCTACTCAAACATCAAGACTGTCCAAGTTCAGGTTAGCAATGGAGACAGAAATGCAAAAGCAATATGTGAGGTATTAAGAGCTTAGCCAACTTTGTATACTACTATTTCATTTATGAAAGTATGAGGTAGATCGAGCATAGCTTTTCTAGAGAATATACATTCAAAAATAAAACTTTCTAAGACATATTTTGCAAGATTCAACCATTTGCTGTAAATAGCCAAGAAAAGCAACATTTAAAGAGCATTTTCCCTAAATGCTATGAATAACTAAAAAGCTAGTTATGGAATGAGTATATCTAATTACCTATAACTTAAAATGCCTTAACACAAAGCTGGAATCTACCTAAGGTAACAATAAGCTTTACAAGAACAGAGATCAAGTTTTTAAAGCATAAACTGCCATATGATTAAATTTAACCCAGTAAACTAAAATAGGTCAGAGGAAGAAACACACAGTCTTATATTATTGATACATCTTCAGGGTTTCATATTGTAAAAAAGGAAGGATTGAGTGTTTGATCACTGTTCTTATTTATTTCATTAACTGGTGGCTGCAAAACATATGCCTTTTGGCTCTAAAGGACTTTTAAAATCCCTGCCAACACTTTTCACACTCTGCAATAAAACCCAAGATTCTCTCCAACTTGTTCCTTAATTCCAATGAATATTAGCTTCTGCATGATTTTGGTTCCTATTTCTTTTATGACTTTATATTCCTAACTCACTTATGTACTCACTTATTCAGGTCAGCTGAACAACAATCCTTGGAACAGTTATTTAGAAGAGTTGTTCAGGGGCCAGCCCCGTGGCCAAGTGGTTAAGTTTGCGCACTCCACTGCGGCGGCGCAGGGTTTCGCCGGTTAGGATCCTGGGCACGGACATGGTGCCACTCATCAGGCCATGTTGAGGCTGCGTCCCACATGCCACAACTAGAAGGACCTGGAACTAAGATATACAACTATTTACTGGGGGGATTTGGGGAGATAAAGCAGAGAAAGAAAAAAAAAAAGATTGGCAACAGTTGTTAGCTCAGCTGCCAATCTTTAAAAAAAAAAAAGGAGCTGGCCTGGTGGCACAGCCGTTAAGTTTGCGCGTTCTGCTTCTCGGCGGCCCAGGGTTCACCAGTTTGGATCCCAGGTGCGGACATGGCATCACTTGGCATGCCATGCTGTGGTAGGTGTCCCACATATAAAGTAGAGGAAGATGGGGAGGGATGTTAGCTCAGGGCCAGTCTTCCTCAGCAAAAAGAGGAGGACTGGCAGTAGTTAGCTCAGAGCTAATCTTCCTCGGGGTGGAGGGGGGGGCAGAGTTGTTCATTGATTAAAGATATCCTGTGAATTAATTTACCATGGAAAAATGAAGTCTTGCTTCCTGTGAGTTTGCAAAATAATCTAAAATAGTAATATCTCAAACATATGCAGTCACTGTAACAAAGGAATGGAGAATTCAGATGGCCCTCAGAATATTTTGATAGGGTTTGAAATATGTGTCCCATTTGAGGAGAAATATTGCCTTTGGCACTATGCCAATTTGCTACCTCAGTGAGTTGGCTTACCTACCCCCTCTTGTCTTCTAGACTCATCTAAAATATCTGAAGTAACCTGATATAAATTTGCCATGTCAAACAGTAAAATGTTCCAAGCTATTGAGTTTAAATTTCTATTCCTACCTCTCAACTCCTTGGTAAAACCTCAAGCAGGCTAAACATAAGAATGACTAACAATTCCACATACAAGTGCAATTTTTGGTATATTCTTTTTTCCCCTTCCTAATATCCAAGTAAACACTCTGAATTCAGCAGGCTCCTTTGTAAGTACTGTCTGGAAACAATACATTCTTTCAGCCAAACTTAAAGCCAGAATTAGTACTCATAGTGCTGGGATCAGATCCAAACCAATGGTTGCTGGGGATGTGGGGGGAAGTGGGAAACTGTTGCAAAATAAGATAGATAAATTCATTCAAATATTTGTGTAAAACTTCTCATCTTCTCATCTAAAATTTATTTTAGAAATTCTAATTGTATCAGCAGAAAGTTACTAATTAATAGTTGGTATCTGTAATTAGTACAGAACTTGATGAAGTCTAAATAACTACTTTTCCAGGGACCATAAGGGTCTGGTTATCACTGTCCAGTTATATCTCATAGGTTATGCTATAGAGAAAGGTGTGACTAAATGATGGTGACAGTTTGCACTACTGCTGGCAAGTAGTCACTCCTAATAAGATGGAGATCAAGACTTCCAAAAGCAGCAACATTACACCACTGACAAGACTAGACTGTGAAATCTTCGTCTACAGCTCTGGTCACAACTTCTTAACTTGAAGTTCAGGGGGAGGCTATGGATGGGTTCTCGGATTCCATAACCGAAACTGCTTTCAAAATTTTGTTTTTATGTGCACGTATGTAGGGAGAGAATCCATGGCTTTCCCAAGAGTTTTTAATTATACTACTTAATTTAATCGTTACGATCAATACGAGGTAGGTACTAATACTATTATCATTTTTACAGATTGAGGAAATTGAAACTTACGGGACACAAAAACTTTACCCCAAGTCACAAAGAAAATGGCAGACCATTAATTTCAAAAATGTCTTTACAACACGAATAACATAAGTACATATACAATAACAGCTAATCAGAGATTGTTTGAACTATAAAAGGTTTTCACACTAGTGTGTATGGACTAGAAACCAAATTCTGGGCAAAACATGCAATTTTAGTTAGTAACATGTAAATACTAGTTGTAAATAATTCTAACAATTTAAATCATTTGGAAATAACATATAAAAACACACATAGCTTTTAATGTGTGTCGAGTGCTATTTCACACACTTGACATCTATCACCCTCATTCAGTCCTCACATCAGTGCTATGAGGTAGATACTATCCTTATCTCCATTTTATAGATAAGGAAATAGAGAAACAGAAGGGTTAAGTAATTTTGATTTGCCCAAGGTCACATAGCTACTAAGTTGCAAAGTCAAGATTCTGGCTCAAAAGTCTGTGCTCTTTACCATGCTATAATACTGCTTCTCCAACCATTTAACACATGAAAATTTTAAACTATGGTCACTTTAAAGGAAAAAAAGAGAAAGCCAAATAAGAATCTAACTGGGAAGAGTCTATTATGGTAAGGTACTTCACTGAACCAAGACCAGTGAGAAAAGAGAGACCCAGCAATTACATTTGCATGCTACTGTCACATACATAACTTCACTTTATTTTCACAGCCATGCATGCAGGAAGGGCAAGTACTATTTGTCCCGCATCTTAAAGATGAGTTAACTGATGCTCTGAGAGGTTAATCTCACTTGTTCACCATTACCTGAACTTTCCTGCCTCTAGGATTTCCTGTGCAGAGTTCCTCTATTGGAATAGCTTTCCTTCTCTGTCTAGTAAAAATGCAACTAAACCTTCAAGGCCCAGATCAGATGTGACCACTTAGATATCCCTTTTCTGGCACTCTAGGTAGAATTAACCCATTTTTTCTCTGTTCTCCCTTAACATGGTTCATACCATTCTGCCAGCACAGTGATCATCCTCTTTATTTGTCTTTGGCTGTGTCTCTGTCTAGTTGCCTGGGTAGACACTAGGCTCCATGATGGCAAGGGTTATATGTAGGACCAAGAATTCCTGGGATTCTGCTGCTGAATTAGGAAAAGGATGAAGCAGAACACTAGCAGTTTGGCGAAGAGGAACATGGATTCATGCTGACGTGCTGTTGTCATCTTTAAGAATTTGTCCTCAAGGCTAGCAGTATGACCCCAAACACTTCTAGAGATGTTCCCTGCGTAGTCCTTGGGAAGTATCTGGGCAGACAACCACCTCTTCTGGGAGTCATCTGGGTAGTGACTGCTCTTTTATGCTACTAATTCCTCAAATATATTGTTTTACTGAGTTTATGCTTCTTGTTTCTTTCAAGTATATCAAGAGGCCTCAAGAGGACTATGAAAACATTTACATCTCTAAGCTGGAGCAAAGCGGGTTTCAATATTTTATATATTGAATATTTATATACCTCTGGAAAAGGAAAGAAAGGAGGTAAGTAAAATAATAAGGGATGGCATGGTGAGTTTTGACAACTAAATCAAGAATTAAATAGTTGGACTAATTTATTAAATGTGTAGCTTCTATAACTCTTGGTTAATTTAACCCTTAACTTTTTTAACCCTTAAGATTTTACCCTTGCATTGAGTACATAAACCTCTTAGCCAAACTCATTTAAAAGACCCAATGTGTGCTTCAAATTTGCTTGATGATAAAAATTTAAATTAAGGACTTAAAGCAAATCAAAGGAATGAGGATGATGATGGCCTTTATTGCCCTGAAATACATCATTCTAGAAACCTACCTTTCACTCTTCTCTAGTTTTTCAAGTCTATGAAAAACATTCTTCTGAGAATGCCATGAATTTACGCAATGGTATTTTGTAAACAAGTAATGGTTGGGGGTAGCAGAAGTCAGTATTTTTTTTTAAGTCTGAATATTTATCCAAATGGTATAAGACACTGACATCTCTTCATATTATCAGGCCAAGGGGAAGACCGTTTAACATAAACCCATTAAAGAGTTTCTAAAATATCACACAGTAACAGTTGCTTGATTTTTTGTTGTCGTTTGTACACAATTTACTGTCATAACACTAAGAACTCAACAAAGCTGGCTAACTGGAGTGTTCTGACAGAGGGTGAAATAATTAAACTGATGTAGAATGCAAACAGTTAACATTCAAACCAAATTCTCAGTGGTTGATTTTTTTAATGTGTACCATTCGGCTGCTTTAAAAATGAATCTGAGAACAGTCAATCTTTAATATTTAAACCTAAATCAAGTGGTAGTAACCACCCCTGATTAACCTCAATTCAGCCAGCAGTTTTGTAAGCCCTTATTATACTGAGCACTCCTGGATCCTTCCTATTATAAATCCTATATTTGAAAGTTCCACGTAATTAATTGATTTTCCAGATTTTTCATCAAGGAGATTCAACGGCCAAAAAAAATAACCAGTGTGTCTACAATGCACTGACACCCTTTCTGCCAAAAGCGAAAACACTTGACATTTTAGTTTCTCTCTGTGCCAGAGAGTATGCAGGAAGAGAAATGCATGCTTTCTCTTAGTGGGATTTTTTTTGTTCATTTTTTGCTTTTTCAATATGTAAAATAACTTACAGACTACCATCAAACCTCTGTGGTAACTTAGTGATCCAGGATCTTGGCTAGGGAGATGACCAGTTATGAAGGTCAGTTTTTTTCATCTTCTACCAAACACTTCACCAACAGAGTTACCTCCTATTATTACAGGCAAACAAGAAGAGGATGCTTACTTGTTTGACTTAATTCTCACTGAAGACTTCACCCCAGATACATAACAGTAAGTTTGTGGTGGACAAGGGAGGAGGCAGTATGATTAGTGAGCTTTGCAATCATAAAGTCCAGTATTCAAGTTCTGGCTTGTAATCTTGGCTACTGGCTATGTAACTTTGGGCAAATCAATTCTCTAAGATTCAGTTTTCTCATGAGGTTAAAGTGGGTTGTTGAGAATTTAATGAGATAAAAATATACAAATCTCAGCACATAGTAGGATCCTCAATATATGTTAATTTCTTTCTTACTCTCACCCTTTATTTTACTTATTTTTTTTGGTGAGGAAGACTGGCCCTCAGCTAACATCTGTGCCAGTCTTCCTCTACCTTATATGTGGGACACTGCCACAGAATGGCTTGACGAGCAGCGCGTAGCTCCCCACCCAGGATCCAAACCCATGAACGCTGGGGCCAATGAAGTGGAGTGTGAACTTAACCACTACGCCACTGGGCTGGCCCCATTCTCACCCTTTAATAATTAGCATACTACTATAAAATGGGGTATTTGACATTTTCAGAATTAAAAAATAATACCATTCAAAGATTTTCTCAGACATCCATTTGAGTTTGCTTGTCTCAGTGATTTCAGTCTCATCATCCTGAAGTTCATTAGCTCTTTGATGTACATAAATCAATTTCATAATTTAAAAACTCTCAACTTGAAACCTGGAAAAGAATGTGAGAGCCTCCATCAGTGGTGGTCTCACTGCTCACTGGCTCCTGGAACGTGGGTGCAGGCTGAAGAAGGGCTGCCAGGACCCAGCCTTCAGAGGACTCCAAGGAACATTCAACGCTGTCGGTGAGTTTGGGATTTGAAAAAACCACCGACCGTTGACTGTACCTTGGGGTCCTTACAGACAACACTACATTTCCTGAAGCAAAGGAGCAGGCTGTACCTTCACATGTCACATGAGGTCACCAGAACCAGTTCTGCTGCCTGTCCCCCAAAGGTGGTCCAGTGAATTTTTTTTTAAAAGCTCTCCTCTCTGCCCACTGTTCCTCACTTTTTTTATGTTTTTGGTCAGTAAGTGCTTTGTTTCAACAAAATAAGGAGAGCTCCAAGATAATACCTAATGTACTTAAATGTCTCTTAGAAATATGCCATTCTGATGAGAAATAGGTTGTGGCAAGGAGAGATTTATAAAAACCATGTATTTTGTTTTAGAGAGATAATGAATTAAGTATTTTACACCCATTTCTCCTACATCCCCTCAAAACTTTTAATTGGGGTAAGGAGAGGATTTAATAAGCAAAAATAGCACAAAACTGTCCACTGTCTGCACAGCTCTTATCACATTTCCACCTCCAATTATAGTTAATGTGGTTAAGTTTTGACAGCCCCGTTAGAATATGAGCTGTTTGAAAGCAGCTACTGCCTTGCTATTTCCATCCACACTTATGCTTATTTAAATGTCTGTTAAAGTCAAGTAAAGAGTGAGGTCTGGAGACAGACATATCTGGGATGAATGCTGGCTCAACTCCCTAAACTAGATGTGTGACCCTGGGCAAGTGTCTGAGGCTCAGTTTTCTCATGTGTAAAATGGGGTATAAGAAGAATACCTACACCTCATAGAGTTTTGGGATTCAGTGAGATAATGTATAAGGGGCTTTGTACCATTCCCAGCACACAGCAAGCAAATATTCAATACATGTAAGCTATTATTACTTAACCCAAAACATAACCTGTGCTAATTTACTTTAAAAAGCACTCTTACTGCTTGTTTCAAAACAGAGAGGAAGAACAAGGGTCTTCAGCTCTTGTTTACACCTAGCAGCATGCAAGCCATTGCCTGTGTGGTCACAGCGCTACCTGTGGGCTTCTCCAGGAGCTCCTGTGCTTCTCCGAATCATAGTTCCTCCATCTTTAAGAACCTCCCAGCTCTTGTGTCAATGTGATCTATAATTATGTGGGCTCTCAATTGTTGGTTACTAAGAGAGACGCCAGACACAGACCTCAAAGAACCAGTGTGAAAAACAGAGTAGGAATTGGTGAGGGCGGAGACAACTCCACCAAATGGAAACACTGATGGCTGCACTCAACATTCATTGCTGTCGGTGGGTTTGAGTCTGAATCAACTCACTGATCAATGAATGCAAACTGCGGACCAAACAACCTAAGAGAACCAAAAGCCTATGTGGAATAACCCGAGCGCATCAGCTACTGTGCTGGGTCGGAGCTGCTGCTGTCTCCAATATACTGGCTAAAGTCTCTCTTACTCTCTTTGATTCTATTACAGAACAGGCTCTCTAAATTCCTAGTACTTCTTTTTTTTTTAAAGATGTTCTAGAGTTAGGGAAATAATATTTTATAGGAAGAAGAAACTAAATACCTTGACATCACATCATATTAAAAAACCAATGCTTTCATAATTTTTTAAGTTAAAAAGAATCACATAGGGCTGGCCTGGTGGCAGAGTGGTTAAGTTCGCATGCTCCAATTCAGTGGCCTGGGGTTTGCAGGTTCAGATCCCGGGCACAGACCTAGCACCTCTTATCAAGCCATGCTGTGGTGGCATTCCACATAAAATAGAGGAAAATTGGCAATGTTAGCTCAGTGACAATCTTCCTCAAGCCAAAAAAAAAAAGAAGAATCACAAGCTTTTTATTTAAAATTCAAATATAAAAATATATAAAGTAGAGGCCGGCCTGGTGGGGCGGTAGTTAAGTTGACATGTTCCGCTTCAGCAGCCCAGGGTTCACCAGTTCGGATCCTGGGTGAAGACATGGCACCGCTTGTCAAGCCATGCTGTGGCAGGCGTCCCACATATAAAGTAGAGGAAGATGGGCACAGATGTTAGCTCAGGGCCACTCTTTCTCAGCAAAAAGAGGAGGATTGGCAGCAGATGTTAGCTCAGGGCTAATCTTCCTCAAAAAAAAAAAAATTAAATAAAAATAGAAAATAAATAAATAAAAATGTTTAAAATATATATATAAAGTAAAAATTGAAAACCCCTTTCCTAATCATCTGCAATTCATTTCCTCAATGGACCTCACCTATAAGTAAATGATAAGTTTAGTAACTTGTTATAATCAATACGATCAACATTGTTCATTTATATTACCTATTAATTATTATTAAAATAATATGTATCATAATTTATATCCTTGGAGACCTTTATCCATGCACATACAAATAGATACCATATCTACAATTTTGTGCGGTTTTGGAAGATGGCTTAAACAAAAATGAACTCATTTTATACTTACTGCTGTACAATCTGCTTTTTCACTCAGCCATACACTATAGACAGCCTTCCACAACAATCCTGTTATGTCGTGCTCATTTTGTTAAATGACAATATAGTATGCTTTAGCATGAATGTTCTTATTATTGCTCAAATGTACTTGAACATTCTCTTTTGACCAAACAATGGGGCCCATTCATTCTGACCTTTGCAAACCATGTCCCTCAAGTAAGAAAAAAGCCCAAGTGAGATGGGGGATGCACACCATTTTTCTTAAAATATAGTACCAATTCTCTGAATTCTATCAGATGAGAGGAGTCACTAAGTCATTCACGATAATGAGAGGAAAACAAGGTCCTGGTCATGAATAATTTAGCACACACTTAAGTCTGAGATGGAGAGAAAACAGATTCTCATTGCAAAAGTCAAATTAAATAAGACAGCAGGAGAGAGTCTTGTCAACTTAGCCTTATAAAATTTTTCTCTCAGGGATAGGAAGGAAGGAGAAGTCCAAGGGTAGTGAGACAAAACTAAAAAGAGAAATCAAGGCAAGAGAAAAATGCAAAAAATGACAATTCAGGAAAAATATGGGGTTCAGGCCAGTGTTCCCCAAACCTGGTTGTACAACAGAATCCAGAGCTACTTTCAAAAATTCAGATTCCTCACTTCTACCCTAGACCAGAGGTAGGGCCCTAGAATCTGTATTTTATGATAACCAGGTGATTCTGAACCACTAAAGGCTGATCCAAGCAAAGCCAAGCCCACCAACTTAACACTGGCTTCCCACCACCACACTTCATGTCATCCACTTTCCAACTACTGCTCAAACTTTTCTGCCACCATCTGACACTGCAACCACTCTTCTGAGTACAGACAGGCATACTCATATTGCTACCGAGTATCTCTCTTCAGAGTGCATAAAACTTTGCACCATGCTGTGGGAGCCAAATACACATCAAATTGTGTATGATGTTTTATACAAACAGATGCATGTGAGTTTATGCTCTCTCAAAAACTAAAACCCAACGAAAGCATCTAATGAATGAACAAGATTAATTTCAGATGACTGTTCACCCAAGAAGTCTTTACAGAAATCAAAAAGTTTTCTTTCTTTCATACTGGTGGACACACAGAAGGTAATTCACATGTTGCTGTTTTTCAGGATGTTTTTCATTTATTTTCAAATACTGACTATTCCCAAATTTTCTGAAAACTTTAGAAAAGAATGTCTGATATGTTCTTTGGACAATGTACACCTAACAACCACACCATTTATTTACACAGATAATCAGTAGTTTTTAAATATGCCAGTGAAACAGTTACACATTTCAGCCACAAAATCCTACGCAGTTTCTCTTGGATAAAACTAAGCACTACAGTAAGGAAGACAATTATGCGAGTTTAAGGGTGTTTTCTGCAGATAAGACTGTAAGTAAATACCTGCAACAGAAAAATATGTGGCATGTATAGGGGACAAGAACAGAAGAGTTCAGAGACTGTCTTAGGGAGTCATGAGGAGCAGCACTGGAAAGGTCAAAGGACAAATTACAGAAGACTTTGTGAGTCAGGCAGAAAAACTGAGAATTAGTGCAATAGGGGGCCACTTCAAGTGCTTAACTCTGAAAGGAGATAATGAAAGCAAGACTTTGGGAAGATTCACCAAGCAGACGAATGGGAGGAAGGGAAGAGAAATTTTAAAGAGAGAAAAAGGGAGAGGGAGAGAGGGGGAGAGGGGGAGAGGGGGAGAGGGGGAGGGAGAGGGAGAGAGGGAGAGATCTGCTGCACAAACAGCTGAGTTAAAACTGAGGCAGCAGGAGCTGAGAGAATGGAAAGGATATCTCAGTTTGGTTTTGGTTGTTTTCTTTTTTTCAAAATAGGATTTTTTTTTAGTACTATGTAGTTACTGAAAAAGTCATACAAAAGAGAGAAAACTGAAGTCCACCAGTTGGCCCCTTCCCATCGTATTGTTCAGTGTATACCCTCTCAGATATTTCAGAGATATTTAAAATACATGTACTTACATCTAAAGAAAATATAAATTATACATAATGTTCTGTAATCTTTTTTCACTTAAAATACGTGGCCATCTTTTCAGGTCAATAGAACAGATCCACCTTCCAAAGAACTAGCTCAAAAAGAAAAGATAGTGACGAGTCAAGAATGGTGCCAAACTCTCTTGACTAGATTAGGAGCCAGGAGTGCACTAAGAAATGCGCAATTTCAAATTGGAAGAAAGAGGAGTTCATTTTTTGAAGAGAGGACACACATTTGTGATTTACAAGCATGGAGCTGAGAGTGAATGAGCTATGTCCAGAAAGAAAAAGATAAAGAACAGAGAGTTACTGGACACCTACCAAGCACCTGAACTACAACACAAGGCAGGAGATGTGGAGGAAACAAAAGCATATAGCGAAATGGCAGACCAAATTCTAATGAACAAATAATTCCAGGTGTAAAAAGTTCTATAAAAGAGAAAAACAAGGTATTGTTGGAGAAAATAACAGAAGGGACCAATCCAGTCTTATGAGTGAGAAAGGTCTGGGAAATGACCTCAAGAAAGTGACGTTTGAGTAAAGACTTGAAGGGTAAATGTAACTACCTGGGTGAGATAGGTTGGGTGAGCATTCCAGGCAAAGGGAATGGGTGGCATGTGTACAGGCCAAAGGAGCACAGTCCTTTCACAGAACTGAAAGTGTGACTAAAGCACACAGAAGATGGAGAAGAGGTCATGAGATAAAGCTGGAGAAGAAGGCAGAAATAAAAACATTATTGACAGTCTTGGAAAGAATAATTTTGGAGTAATAAGTCATAGATGAAAACAGATTTCTGGAAAGGTAGTGGTGAAGAGCTTATGCTAAATGAGGGTAAAAATTCCAGCTCCATTATTTATCAACTAAGTGAATCTAGATAAGTTATTTACCTTTTAAATCTGTGCCATCTGTGAATAGGAGATATGACAATAGTATTTGCTTCACAGGGCTTCTTGAGGAGTAAGAATACATGTAAAATATTTCACACAGAGCCTGACACAACAAAATACTAATGTGTGTGTGTGTGAGTGCCGTGTGCACCCACACACATGTGCAAGCATGTACTAGCTGTTAGAAAGTAAAAAGCAGGGTCCAGCTGGGTGGCGCAGCGGTTAGTATGCACATTCTGCTCCGGCGGCCCGGGGTTCGGTTCGCTGGTTCAGATCCCAGGTGCGGACATGGCACCGCTTGGCACGCTATGCTGTGGTAGGCGTCCCATGTACAAAGTAGAGGAAGATAGGCATGGATGTTAGCTCAGGGCCAGTTCTCTTCAGCAAAAAGAGGAGGATTGGCAGCAGTTAGCTCAAGGCTAATCTTCCTCAAAAAAAAAAAAAAAAGAAAGAAAGTAAAAAGCAAACTGGAAATTCAAACAGACTGGAAGCAAAAATGCTACCAGTTGAAATCTCTTAAGTTGTAGAATTAAAGGTGATTTTTATGTTTATTATTTATAACTCATCCATGACTTTCACGTGTGTAGAAATAAGCATGATCTATTTCAACAACTGAGAAAAATTATTTTTAAATGTCTTTTTTTTAAAAGCAAAGATTTCTTTTAGATGCAAGACTTACCTATATCTGGCTGAAAAGCAGATGGAAGAATCCACAGTGGAAAAGGAAGATGGACGATTTTTATCAAGAAAGGGGACCCGTAGAAAGCACAGCTGCAGGGATAGTAAAAAACAGTCTCCAGGTCCATGGTGAAAGTGGTCACTTTGGAGGGCAGACACATCAGCCTCAGAGAATGAAAACAATGAAAGACTCCCAGCCTACTCTTGTTCTCTCAGGCTGTATCTCAATAGGATTCAACTGGACCTTGTGGATTCCCTGTCTTGGCAAGGGGCCTGATGGAGTAGACATTCAATAAATGTTTGTCAAATGAATTTCCTTATGATTTCTGGCACAATTATGTTTATAACTTAGGAAGTGGTCTGCTCCTTGAATCAAGCACAGGATACCTTCAAGCCACCTGTGCCATGAATTACAGTTCTAAGCCGGGTATAATTTGAAAGCTATCAGATATCTGGACAAACCTACCTTGATTACACTTGCAACAGAACCTCTGAACTTACACTGTAGGCCAACTTCACCTCCTATTCTTCAGACTAAACCTACTGAAAATTCACGCAACCAATCAAAATCACAGGCCCCTTTCGCTCCCCTTCCCAATAAACAGTTGAGGCAAAACAGTAAAGAAGAAATGGTTTGGGACATGGAGTCAGAAAACCTGAATTTAAGCCCAGCTCTGCAACGGTCATGTGTCCTCTGTAAAAGGGGGAATAAGAATACCTATCCTATCTCTCAGGATTGTTGTGAGGCCTCAGCAAGAACACAGTGAAAAGTACACTACAAACAGCACACAGCAGCACAGCCCAAAGCATCCTGGTCTTTGATGTACCACTCCATGGGTTCTCCACCTTCACGAGACAAGATTCTCTCTCTGCCTAAACCCTCATCTACTTGTCAACCAGCAACACACGTTTGCAAGACTTCTTCTAGCTGGGGTTAATCTATAACCTGGGGCTGAAAGGTGGCATTTTTCTGTATATCCGTGTCATCAGCCTAGACAGTCCATCACAGCCACACTCCAAACAGTTGAGTCAGTCCTCCCAAACAAGGAGAAAGTTCTTTCCAATGGACTTTTTAGTGGGGCAGGGCACAGGGTAAGGCTCAGGGAGCAGGGAGGATATATGTTTCCAAGGCAAGGACTAATTGAGAGACATCACAAATCAACAGGGCATCACCTGACTGATGAACTTAAACCATTTTACCCAAAAATCTCTTCCTTCCAACCAACCTTAGGTACTTTTCTCTTTACAGCTTTATTTAGGTATAATTTATATACCGTAAAATTAATTCACTGACAGGGCCACTTCTGTGGCCAAGTGGTTAAGTTCGCACGCTCTGCTTCGGTGGCCCAGGGTTTCGTTGGTTCGAATCCTCGGCGCAGACACGGCACTGCTCATCAAGCCATGCTGAGGCAGCATCCCACATGCCACAACTAAAAGGACCCACAACTAAAAAATATACAATTATGTACTGGGGGGGGGGGGGGGGCTTTGGGAGACAAAGGAAAAACAAAATCTTAAAAAAAAAAAATTACTTCATTGTAAGCATACAATGCAATGACTTTTATTCACTCATTTACAGAGTTGTGTAAATATCACTGCAATTGAATTTTAAAAGACTTTACCGCCCCAAAAACTTCCCTTGAGACTGTTTCCAATCAATCTCCACTCCTCTCCTTAGCCCCCAACAACCACTGATCTGCTGTCTCTATAAATTCACCTTTTATGGATTTTTTTATATAAATGGAATAAAACAATATGTAGTCTTTTGAGATTGGCTTCTCACTCAGCATAATGTTTTTGAAGTTTATCCATGTTGTAAGTAGCATGTATCAGTAGTTCATTCTTTTTTTCCTTTTCTTTTTCCTTTTATTTTTTGAGGAAGATTAGCCCTGAGCTAACATCTGCTGCCAATCCTTGTCTTTTTGCTGAGGAAGACTGGCCCTGAGCTAACATTCGTGCCCATCTTCTTCTACTTTGTATATGGGAAGCCTGCCACAGCATGGCTTGACAAGCAGTGCGTAGGTCTGCACCCAGGATCCAAATTGGCAAACCCCAGGCCACCGAAGCGGAACATGCGCACTTAACTGCTGCACCAACAGGCTAGCCCCAGTAGTTCATTCTTTTTTATTGTTGAATAGCATTCCATTATACGGATATTCCACATTTTGTTTATTCATTCCCTAGCTGACGAACATTTAGCTATTATAAATAATGCTGCATTCACAAACAAATCTTTGCGTGGACATATGTTTTTATTTCTCTTGGCTAGATACCCAGGAGTGGAATTGCTGCATTATATGGTATGTTTACATTTAACTTTTTATTAAACTGCCAAACTTATATCCAAAGTGACTGTACCATTTTACATTCTCAAAGCAGTGCACAAGGTGTCCAATCTCTCTACATCCTACCAACACTTTCTAGAACATTTTTACAGTCTTTTTGACTCTAGCCATTCCAGAGGGTGTGCAGTGGGAATTCATTGTGATTTTAATTTGCATTCCCCTAATAACTAATGATTTGAGTACCTTTTCATGTGATGAAATGTCTATTCAAGTCTTTTGTCGGTTTTAAATTTTCTTTTATTGTGGTAAAACATACATACAATATTTACCATTTTAACCTTTTTTTTTTTTGAGGAAGATTAGCTCTGAGCTAACAGCTGCTGCCAATCCTCCTTTTTTTCCTGAGGAAGATTGGCCCTGAGCTAACATCTGTGCCCATCTTCCTCTACTTTATATGTGGAATGCCTGCCACAGCATGGCTTGATAAGCAGTGCATAGGTCCGCACCTAGGGTCTGAACCAGCGAACCCTGGGTTGCCGAACCAATGTGTACAAACTTAACCACTATGCCACCTGGCCAGCCCCTCCATTTTCACCATTTTTAAGTGTACATTCAGTGGCATTAAATTCATAACGTTGTGCAACCATGACCACTATGTTTCTAGAACTATCATTCTAAACAAAAACTCTGTACCTATTAAATAATAACTATCCATTCCCCACTTCCCCTAGCAACCTCTATTATACTTTGACTCCATGAATTTGCCTATTCTAGGTATTTCATATAAATGGAACCATATAATATTTTTTGTCCATTTTTAAAAATTGGGTTGTTTGTCTTCTTACTGTGTTGTAAGAGTTCTTTATATATTTTGGATACTCCTTTATCAGATATGCAAATATTTTCTCTCAATCTACAGTTCATCTTTTCATTTTCTTAGTTATGTCTTGTAAAGTGCAAAAGTTCTACATTTTAATGAGGTTGATTTATCAAATTTTTCTTTTATGGCTTGTTTACTGGTATCATGTCTAGGAAGTTGTTGCCTAACCCAAGGTCAGAAAGATACTCTTCGAGACATTTTGTAGTTTTAGATTCAGGTGTACAATCCACTTTTGAGTTAATTTTTGTGTCTAGTGTAAATTACAGGTCTGAGTTCATTTTTTTTGCACACAGATATCCAATTTTCCCAGCATCGTTTGTTGAAAAAAACTATCTTTCCCCCCACTGAATTGTCTTGGCAACTTTATCAAAAATCAATTGACCACATATATATGGACCCATTTCTGAACTCTCAAACCAGTTCTAGTACCTATCCTTATACCAGTATCACAGTGACTTGATTGTTGTGACTTCTCAGTAATTTCTGAAACTGTAATTTAAATCCTCCAACTTTGTTCTTTTTCAAAATCATATTGGCCCACTGCATTTCCACACAAATTATAGCATTAAATTTCTCCAAAAAAGTCTGAGAGGTTATTTTAGGGATTGCATTAGATCAACACATCAAGTTCAGGAGAATGTCATCTTAACAGTATTTAGATTTTTAATCCATGAACATACACCGTTTCTCCATTTATTTAGGTCTTCTTAAATTTCTCTCAGCAACATTTTATAGTTGTGGGTGCACAAATCTTGTACTTCTTGTTAAATTTATTCATAAGTATTTTGTTCTTCTGATGCAATCATGAATGGAACTGTTTTCTAACTGGCACTTTTTGTATTGTTGCTAATATATCAAAATACAATTGATTTTCGCATATTCATCCGGTATCCTGTGACCTTGCTAAACTCAGTTAGTTCTATTTTTGCTTTTTTGTGAATTACTTAGGATTCTGTCATCTATGAATAAAGACAATTTTAATCCATTCCAATCTAGATATCTTCCCCCCCGACTTACTGCACCAGTTAGAACCTACGGGGAACGTTGGAAAGTAGTAGTAAAAGCAGACATTTTACCTACCTTGTTCCCAATCTTAGGGTAAAAGCATATTTCACTGCTAAGTATCATGTTAGCTTTAGGCTTTTCACAGATTAAGTTGTGGAAGCTGCTTCTATTCCTAGTTTGTTGAGAGATTTTATTATGAATGGGTGTTCAATTTTGTCAAACACATTTTCTGTGTCTACTAAAATGATCATATGGGGTTTTTTTAACATTACAGAGGTTAGAAACTCTGATCTGTGGGCAAGCTCTTTTTGCAGATAAAGCTTTACTGAAGCATAGTCACGCCCATTTATTCACCTATCGTCCATGACTGTCTCTGCTGTACAACAGCAGAGCTAAGCAGTTCCAACAGAAACTGTATGGTCCAAAAGCCTAAAACATTTACAACTTAGACTCTTAAGAGAACGTCTGCCAACCCTTGGTATGTTACATTAATTTTTACACATTAATCCAAACTTGTACATCTAGGATAAATCCAAATTGGTCATGGTATACAATCCATTTTTATGTTGCTGAATCTGATTTGCTAATATTTTATTAAAGATTTTTGTGTCTGTGTTCATAAGGGATATTGGTCTGCAGTTTTCTTATGGTATCTTTGTCTGGCTGTTATCAGGATAACACTGTCCTCATAGAATGAGCTGGCAAGTGTTCTCTCCTCCTCTACTTTCTGACAGAGTTCATGAAGGATTAGTGTTATTGCTTCTTTAAATGTTTGATAGAATTCACCAATGAAGCCACTGGGCCTGGGCTTCCCTTTGTAGGAAGATTTTTAATTACTAGCTCTTTTTCTTTAACTGTTACAGGTCTATTCATATATTCTATTTCCTCCTAAGTGTTTGTGTGTGTGTGTGAGGAAGACTGGCCCTGAGCTAACACCTGTTGCCAATCTTCCTCTTTTTGCTTGAGAAAGATGGTCACTGAACTAACATCTATATCAATCTTCCTCTTTTTTATGTGGGATACCACCACAGTGCAGCTTTATGAGCCATGCTAGGTCCACACCCAGGATCCGAACCTGTGAACCCCAGGCCACCGAAGCAGAGCATACAAACTTAACCATTACGCCACTGGGCTGGCCTCTGAGTCAAGTTTTAATAATCTGTCTTAGGAATTTGTGTCTAGGAATCTGTCCACTTCATCTAAGTTGCCTAATTTGTTAGGATAAAGTTGTTCATGACATTCCGTTGTAATCTTTTTAATTTCTGTGGAGTTATTATGCCCTCTCTTTCATTCTTTTTGTTTTTAAAGATGGGCACTTGAGCTAACATCTGTTGCCAATCTTCCTTTTTTTTTTTTTTTTTTTGCTTTTACCCCCCAAATCCCCCCAGTACATACTTGTATATT